TATATATATATATATATATATAGATTATTGCTATTTTGAAATAAATTCTTAGTTATTTTTCCTAAAGCATAGAATAGTAAATAAAGAAGTAAAGCAAACAATTATCTCTTCTAGTTACGACCTTTGTATTCGGTTGCTGCTTTACATAGGTTGCTAAGGCTTTAAAAATTGTGCATGTGGAGGATATGAAACAAAATATTTTTTTTAGGTTTTATATATACATTTGATTAACTAAAAAAATCATAAATTACTACATCAATACAATAGAATTCTACTATAATTTATCAAGCTTAGTAACTAAGATGTATTTTACTCTAAAAAAAAATATGAAATTTCAAGCAGACAAAAGACTCATCCTACTTCAGTGAAATCTTGGTTCTAAAGAAAGAAATGGTGCTAGCTACATTAGAAAGGCTGAGAAAACCACTAGGAGGACATTCTGAGTTTGCAATTGGTCATTCATGTCATATATAGAAGTGTGTATAAGAGAACATTTCCAAAAATGGAAAGAGGTGGGTGGGGTGACACTGTGTTTTGAGCAATTTCTTAACAAATATAAAAGATAAGACCTTCTTATTTTATATTGTAACTTGTCAACATCTGTAATTTGAGTTTCTAATTCATACAAAACTGTAGACTTAGTATTTTGACTCAACAAACATCTAATTTGAATCAGTGCTGCATTCAACATACCATGTGACACACAATAATTGATGTTTATCAGTGTTTTTTAAATATCTACTTTTAAATTAAGAAATTAAGTACTATATAGTTCTAAAATTTGAATTATAATCTAGTTTCATACCAAACTTATTGACATAAATTCATGAAATCGTAGTTCAATAAAATTTTGAATGCGAGTCAACATATGAGATGACATGGCCTTTCACCTGTGACCCATCTCGAAAGGGTTAATGGGGTATCGTCAAACTAGACTCCTGTTACTATTGAAGGGCCTCAAGGGTCAGTGCTTCGGGCTTTTTTTTATTTACACTAATGATACTGATAATAATTAGCAAACAAAGTTTGATGTTGATATTAAACTAAAATATTTTTAGGTGTAGTGAGGATGTTGATGCATTACAGAAGGACTTGTATCAATTGGTAAATCAAACAATTCTGCATAAAATGACTTATTATAAATATGCATTTGGGTTATCATAATTGGGATCTCACATTTAAAGACAAGAACTCAATAGCATGACTGAATAAAAGGATCTTAGCATACTGGTGGATAGATCAATGAAGCCATCAAAGTAGTGTTTTCAGACATTTTGATTTTAAGATAAAAGAAGTAATTATCTCTATAAAAAGAATCACTAGTTAGGTCCCACTTAGAATACTTGGTACAGTTTTGGTCTTGCTATCTAATAGACACTTATAACAGAAGTTCCAGAGGAGAGCCACTATGATGATTCTGGGAATGGAAAGGTTTTCTTACAGATAGTTAAGATCTCTATTTATTTTCTCTGGAGGAAAAATTATAAGATGTGGTCTTTCGTAAGTTAACAAGATTATCTAGGGAATCAACAAAATAAAGGCTTTTGATTTCTTTATGCTATGTTCTAAAGACGCATTTAAGGACATGAGACGCATTTAAGATTTTAAAAAGATGGAAGAGGACACAGTTAAATTTTAATGTTTCTAACGGCGATTTGTCTTATGGAATGAGTTTCTGTAAACAGCAGTAGAGGTCAGCACTTTACAGGACTTTAAGAGGGGAGTAAATGATTTACTGAAAAATAAAGTATGGGTTTAAATTTTTACTTTTCTTAAGTGTAAGTATAACAATCTTGAAGGACTAAATGGTTCCTTGTTGTCTTTATGTTATAATGTTTCAAGCTTTATAATACAAAAATATTTGTATTACAAATACAGTTAATGTCAGTTTAGTATATTATTAGTTCAGTATCCATTACCTATTTCCCACATTTTCAAATCTTTCCCAAATAACCTGGTGCCTGAGTTTGAGTTCAATAAAAAATTTCATATCTTACAATGAAATATTAAATCACTGTATTATTCAATTGTGCTATATCATTTTAACTGAGTATTTAATAAAGAGACAGAACAGACTATCATGTGCAGTCAGTCTACAAGTACAATTAGGGAAGATCCAAGCAGTCATTCATTAACTACTTTTAAAGCACAACTGTTATACTGTTAATTGTAGTTTATACATATATATGTAGCTTGTAACACAGAAATAATAAGATTAATGTCATACTAATACAAAAATTTACACCCAATACATCTTATTACACTTAAAATATTTACTTACATTTTCAGTGGAGAGTCCACAAAATGGGGAGATGTGACAGCTTTTACATGTTGTAATAAACAAGTGCTTGCAGTTATATACTAAAACTAAAAGTAACAAATACAGAAGGTGAATTCCAATCCCACAGTTTAGTCTCTTCACATTAAAAAGGCAACAAGTGGAAAAATTGGAATTTACCTTCTGATTTTCATCAGTATCACTTTCAGTATTTAAAACCAATTAGTGCATGAACATACAGTGTTACATCCAATGAAGAAACTGTGACTCTCAGTTTTCTATCCCCACAAACACAAATGTAGAACACTTATTAGAAGTCTCAGTCGTACCAACACTATCTTCATAACTGCATTAATGTCAGTTAGAATCACATAAAACCATTTAAGTCATTATGAAGAAACACGCACACTAAAACAGACAGCGTTGTTGCTTCTAACTTCTATTCTAAGTTAATATGGACAAAATCAGACAGCCCCTAAAAGTAAACTTAAACTAGAAGTAAAAGATATTAATATTGATGCAACTTGCAATGCAAGTATGTGTCATACTATTATTAATACTAAAAAACTACTAAAACTAAAAGTTATACAGATTTACACCATATGTTTTTAAGTGTTGCCCGACATAGTCACAATACAAATACCAGTTAAAACTTAAGTTAAAGTTAAACATAGACGAAATGTTACCTTCTAGTTCAGTGTCTATTTCTTCATCAAGTCCTGTTTTAAGTGTCTTTGTGGTTATAACTTATAATATAGAAAGCCTCTAAGTTAGTAAATATTCCAAGGTATTGCGAAGACTCGGAAGAAACATTGGGCGTGCTAATCACTTAAATGGTAAATTGGTATCTATCTGCACCTACCTAGTACTATTACTATTAGTAATACTAACAATACAGTATTTTGTGTCCTACAGAATTGCAATTTATATTATTTTTCTTTCAAACTTACAATAAAAACTTAAAAGACAAAAATCAGCACAAAGGATACACGTTAATCTACCGATTTTGCGCGCGACTTATTCGATGGAAAAGTTTAACTTTCAGTCAACATAAATTGCAAAGCAATTTAACAGTTAAGACTAACTCTAAGTTCCAACGCGTAGATACGAGACTTGTCAAAAGCCCGGATTAGCGTTTATGGCTATTTCATAAACACATAATAAGAAATTCTGAGAAATAAATAAAAACGAAAAGAAATAAAAAATATATACAAAATTAATAATATAGCGATACAATTATTTTTAAGCCCACTACAGTAATGTAACTTTTAGGCATATATATTAAAATTATGGAATTATATATATTAACACACAATATATACCAAGATAGTTTTTATAGGGGTTGTAGCAGTTCTTTACCAAAATAAAAGAAAACAGAGTTCGTGAATTTTAGAGTAGAATCTGAAATCCCTCTTCATCCATCAAGGGAATGATTGAAGAAAAAACTAAGGCTTGGGGATTTAAAATACGTGGGTATAGTGAGTTGTAGGTAAGGTTTCGGGAATGAATGGGGGTAAAAAAGAAGTGGAAGATGTAGAGGAGGTGTACAAAGAGGAGTAGTCTTCCGTTAGGATCAAATTGAATATCATGCAAATGAGACTTTTTCAAGACTTAGGGATCTTTTGTTGAACTTTCATTTGTTTGATGATTTTCGATGTGGTTTCTGTCTGATGGGAATCTTTTTGAGTAAATGTTTCTTTCTTCTTATATTTTGATACTTGATGGTAACTCACTTTTCAGGGAGTGGGTAGTACCATTTTTTGGCAAAATTCTTGTTCTGTTTGTTTGTTTGTTTGT